AAAATAAATGATTTTTTAAAATTCATCTTATAGCTAAATTGAAGATGATATTCAATGCACGTGTCACACATGAAAAAAGTTAAGTAAAACAAATGTTACTTTCGTATTAAGTGTTCATTTGGATTCGAAACCTGTAGACATAACGCATAAAAATAAAATGAAATTCAATTCTTCAGAATTAAAATAAAAGCACATCGCCTGTGATATTGGTTACATATAAATCAAGCGTATAAAAATAGCAATGATTTTTTTTAAATTTTAATGATTTTTATAAGTTTATAAATATTAATAATTAGAAAAATATAAAACTTACATTAAATAGAACTATAAATATTTTAGAAAATTATTCACAAATTAAATTATTTTATTAAAAACGCAATCAATATTGATTTATTTTCTAGTTATATATTCTGTATTTTATTGCTTATTTAACAAGTCCGTATTTATTGTTTTAAAAAAAAAGAAGAAAAAATAAATAAGAGTATAACTGTGACTAATAAAGAATAACAAATTCGTATCCTTGTGCCATTTACTTTCTTTGTGCGCTTTATATAATATTTCTATTATTGATTATAAGGTTATGACAATGCACCTATAGCTATGCCTCGTTTGACAGGAAGTGAAGCCATCTGGGAATATCAAGTGACACAGTCAGTTCAGACAGAGGAAGATATATAGACTTTAGGGACAATCTGGTAACTGTAGGTCTTGATCCCTGTTACTTAAAAGTAACTACATACCCAGAGTTATGCATCATTTACACTGCAAACAATATCTTTCGTGAAACAGATGGGTACACTGTCATTCCCATTTCAGAATCTGACTTCTGATGACCTAAAACTTTCAAATGTCTAAACAGAAACGGATAATCTCTTTGTTGTAGTGTAGTTGGTAAAAATCTGTAATTTACTTTTTAAAAAATGTTGTGAAGAACCTAGATATATTATCAAGAAGTCGAAGTATTAGAAAATCATGTTTCTAATTTTTAATTAGCAAAATTGATGCTAAATTCGAATTTAAAAAAATAAGAACTTAGAAATATTCTTTATCGAAAGAAAAAAGCAAAAATTGCTTCGTTTAACACATTTAAAAAGTTATTTATTAGTGAGATTTTCGAGATCGTATTTTAAGAAATATTCCTGTTTTTCAGTAACAAAAATTAAATGCTTATTCGTGCTGTCTTCCAATTACAGTATTAGAAACATAATTTCTGGCTGTTAGAACTCGCCTTTGTAAATAAATATTTTATAACTTCGATTCTGTTAGTAGTTTGCATGAGTTAATCCTCAAGAAAGTGGAAACTTAGCAGTTCAAGGTAATATAAATAAACAAGGACCGAAACTAATGGCATGTGTAAACAATGTGTTAAATATGAAGGAATATCTAATGTCTTCTTTCATTCTGTTTGACCTATATTTAAAACTTTTTATTTTATGATTTATACAAACTGGATTCGAGAGCGAACCTCGATCTACATTCCTAACCTTGTTTCTTCTATAAATAATAGGTGTATTATTCGAAAAGTTATTTTTAATACTAGTATATTAAAACGACTCTAAAAATTTTCTTAATAAGTATGAGAAGTCAGGTTTATTTATATACGTACCTAACGTATTTAGGTAGGCTTTAGATGTATCGATTTTTCCCAGATGAGCCTTTTTTGCTTATAATATCAAAATAAGAGTTTTGATTTAGATATCAATAAAAAGTTAATGTTAAAAACCATTTCAGTCAATCACTAAGCAAACAATATCTAATAAATTTAAAATATTCATTTATAAAGATCTAAATCTATAATAAACAGGCTGAACAGATGACGACATATATAAACGATGTACTGTACAGTACAGTACTGTACATATATATATAGGCCTATACAGTATCATTATTACAACCAATCCGTATATATATACGTAGACGCACGTTGGAACACATACACACACCTACATACACGTACACACAAACGTATAATAAAAACAGAAGTATTAATACGCGTAGTTATTTACACTTCTGCTTTTATAATATTAATAATCTAAAGCCGTAGAATTAATTGAATTCAAAAAAGTTTAAGAAATAGAAAATAAATATTTAAAATTTCTTTCAAGACTGATTATTTATCAATAAAATTACGTGTATATAAACTACAGGTGTATGTTTATTCGCAGGTTTGGTAAACAAATTTTGATCTTTTTAATCATGAAAATGCGTAAACGAATTCTTCAGATTTGTTTTAAGTAAACTTTGTCGGATATTCATTATATATTTATATACTATAAACAAATTCATATCTATCCTGACGTTCCTGTTTTTATTCTAAGTCAATGTTATCTTAACAACATGTTTTATTTAGTATTAGATACGGCCATACTAAAGTTTACTATTATTTAAAAATGCTGATGTAAATACTTATTTAAATTTATCAAAACTTTTTATTTTCGTATATTTTTACAATTTAATTTCGCTCAAAATTTTAAATTTCTAATTTAAATTATTCAAAGCTTAATTAATATTGTGGTTTGTAGCTTGTGCAAACGGTATATTTTCATTCCACAGCATTAGACTACATAAGTTTTTTTTTTTATGATTAATTTACACGTAATGTTTCAAACTCAAGATGTGTTACTCTGACTAAAAGTGAATTTAATAATAATTCTATAAAATTTAAGTTTTTTCTAATGATTACGAAGAGGAAATTCATACTTTTACCGAAGAGTGGATTGATAATTAAATAATAAATCTTTTTAAAGTATGTTTTTAAATATTTATTGTACAGCTAAATAAGCAGTGAATAAATAAAAGGATCACAATAAAATTAAAAAAAGCAAATGCAAATAACTAATTTTCTTCAGCGAGAAAAATCATAAAATATTTAAATTAGCAAGCAACTACAAAGAACTAAAAGAATTAATTTTATCATTTTTCTTCTTGTGCAGCAGCGATATTCAATCTAGAGTAAGCAAAAATAATAAACCATTGTTCGTTTCTTATTTTTCTCCGTAAAGCTTACGATTTATATAGAGGTAATCGAGAATCTTAATGGAAATGCCGGTAATCAATCTGTTAATACAGCAGTTATAATTTTAGGAAAGGCGTTAGCTATTCTCGTAGGGATCATTTCTTCTTTCATTATACTGTATTTGGTATTTGGTACGGCATGGTCATTTAAATTAAAAAAAATCAACTTTAATCATGAGAACCTGATACTTTATAGCGATTGGCTATGTAGAATTAGTTAATAATCTAACAGGAAATTATTTTTATAAAATAAAATTTCTACTTTATATCATTTGTATTTAAAATGTTAACGAAAATAAGAAAGAGTTTGTTTCAAATTAAAAAATCATATTTATCGGGAGTTATCTTTACCAGTTTTTACTGAATAAACAAAAGACCATCTCGATAGTGCCTTATAGCCTATATGATTGAAAGGTATGTTTATGCTATATTGTCTCGTTGTTTTATATTAAATTGATCGTGTTAAAACAATCGTAAAAACTATATAATTTTAATCTTTAATAAAAAAGATTAAAATTAATTTACTTATTTTTATTTTAAACAACAAATAACTAAGTTATTTAGTAATTATTTGCAACTTAATACTATACTTTTTAGAAAAGCTTTCCGATAAGTATTGTTTATACAGATAATTCATAGAAAGTATCTAACCCTTAAACTAGCATATGCGGGCATTGTTAAGCTCTTTCAGTAATATGTAATATTTCTGAAACACTTCCGGGAAAGATCATGTCATGTGACGATATTCAATACAAAAGATTCCTTTGTTTTCTTTTATAAAGCACGTGTTGGCGCGACCGCCATCGGGTCTCCAGATGGCATGGTTTATGTTCACCCTCTGCTCCCCTTCTGCAATTGACCGTTTCATCTTCACTGAATTCAACGTGTGGTCTGATTGTTACACTGTTTTTTACTTCGAGTTAACGTCCTTATTTCTTCTTACTTTACGGTCTGTGGTCGAGAAACTATACAAACAAAATTTAGATCGTGCCTTTATTATTTGTGTTGTATATATTTAGGTTAATTGTTAAATGTATATTTTTGTATTCGATAAAATACTTTGAAGTTAAGCAAACAAAATATTATATATATATTTATTTTATTTATTATTGTTAAGTCTTCAACGAATTAAATACTAAAAATTTGCTTATAATTTAAAATAACTACAATGAATTAACTTCAGAATTTTATTTTTTATCATCTTATAAATATCATTTTACTTTTATTATATATAAATCACCTTCATTTAATATGTTAGGTAGTAAAATAGAATAAATTAGGTCTATTTAGATTGATTATATTTAAAAATATCCATAAATCGATTTATAAATTTTTAGACTTTTTTATTTAAAAAATTTTCAACATCTACTTTAATAACTTTTAATATTAATTTATGACAGAATATATATTATATTTTAAACAAATATAGAATACAAATGCATATATAAGTACAAATATTGATAAATAGATTCTCTGTATATAAGATCATTCGTATATAGTTAATTCGTTACATATTTTAAGTATACTTTTATTGTTAGAGAACTTACAATTATAGCCTATATAAATATAATTTATGTACAGGTACTGTACAAGCTACATGCATTTTCTTTAAATCAGTATTATTAAAAGTTTTTAATATGCTTAAAGGGAAGTAATTATAGATACAAACCTATAATTTTTTATTTGGAAATAGGTGAAGTGTTATAAACGTTTTTATTAAAATACAGTATATTCATTTTGATATAAGTAATTTAAAATGTTCATTTTAATATTAAATTTATATCATCATTTCAAAAGTTTATATTAATTATAAATGTATAATTAATATTTTGATAATACGTAATTAGTAATATACTTGGTAATATTTCAACTAAGTATTAAATATTATATTATCAAATTATATTATATTATATTATTTATTTCAACTAAACTGACATTAAAAATAACAAGAATTTGTTAATTAATTAATTAAATTTTAATTACAGGGAGATATAAGTCAAGAAGACGCAACGAACGTTCATCGTCAACACGAGAAAAGGCAGCAAGAACAATTTTTGGAGCAGCAACAGAAGCTTCAAGATCTTCAGGTTGGTCTGCGCTTAATTCCTAAAAGAATTTTCCATTAAATATAAAACTTATAAGATAAAATACTTAAAAATTCATATATCAATTATTATCCATACGTACACATTGTACACATGAAGAACTTTCGTTTGATAAAAGTACACTACGGAATAATTTAACCCCACAGTTTTCTCACGTAATTTTAGTCTTACGAAAATACCTTTATTTCCTAAGAACTGTAGATTTACAATATGTTTATTAAAATAAGCTAAACGTAACGGTAATCATTTCACGATTTCCAACATTCAAATTTAGACAAATTTAAATAAAATTATTTTTTCCCCCTCCGACGAAAGAGTTATTCATTACCATTTATTTGATGTAAAATAGAAACATTTTCGTTAAGAACCGAATCAAAACGAATATGTAGACTAAAAAAACGTGGCTCGTTATTTCCTGCTTGATATTTGCCACATTATAGCCTACTGTTTAATGTCTCGTAGATTAATGACTACTTTACCATTTTCATTTAATTCTAATTCGCTTTTAAAGCATTTCCCTAAAAATTTATTACGGCTATCGTTTAACGAGCCATTGTGTACCGCGTATGTTAGCATTACAGATGAAAGCAAAATAAATGTCTACGAGCCTGTAAGACAACTTCTGAGCAAACATTCCAAGTTCTGATAGTAAGTGTCAAGTGGGGATGAATTAAGCTACTTTTTGAGATTACTTTCGTAATAAGCATAAAGTTTTCTCTCTCGTCATATAACGAAGCGATTTGCTTTTAAATTTACGGAATCAAAAATTTAGACAAATTTAAGTCTTAACCGTAATATCTTGATTATCATATTTAGTTTATTTTTTCATCTTATTCTGAAACTATAACTGTCAAAAAATAGACGATGCCTCGAAAAGAATTTCTTGATCCTAAAATTATTTTGAGAACTGAGTTTATTTTTTTGACAATTTAACAGAAAAATGTGAAAAATCAGAAATTTTTAGTTGAAAATGATTTTTATTATTTTATTTAAAAGAAATGCAGTAATTAATGGACAGAGCAAAATAATTAGAAAATATATTAAAGACGTAATGCACACCAGTGATGTTTCTAAGTTTTTAAGCTGAAATGCAAGCAGAAACAAACTTCACTACACACGACACATGGTCTAAGGTTTATACTGTTGCTGGATGTTTTTTAAACTACACTGCAAATCACACGCAACAACATACACACGAAAAGAAATGCTTAAGCCAAATGACTGTTATTATGTAAATCACTTAATGTCATGTATCTGTCTGTATGTAAGAATTCCAAATTCAAGCAGTCAAAACCGAAACCAAAGCTAACTTTATTAATATCGCGCTACAATGTTGTCAGTTAGTTTTGTTTTTTATTTATGTTGAAATCATATCTATTTTTTGTTTTGTAATAAAATATATAATAAATAAAGAATAAAATATAATATAAACAATTACTTTGTTACAATAAAATATCAAAAAATGGCATATTTACTGTGCTTTAACAGGTGTGGTAGATGGGCGACGTGCCTGCATTAATAAATGCCTGTACTGTATTATTATTATTACAGTATTATTATTTTCCGCATATCGAAACTTTTTAAGCCGTAAATCGAAACTGAGCTATAAAATCAGGTCGTTATAGCAAAAAGCCGTATAAAGAGGATCGAGGGGAGGTTATTATAGTTTTCTTTCTTAATTTTTCTAATTTTGACAGAACAAAAAGCAAGTAAAATACTATTTAATTTTAAAATTTTTAATAATTATACTATTAAAAGTATTTCTTTTAAAGTCAATTTATAAAATTTGCCCTTTAGTCTAGTTGTGTAATAGATTGTAGATGTTTATAGCTTTCTCTTTATAAAAAATCTGTGTATTATATATAAATTTATTGAAATTTGTTATAATTTTTAAGCCTGTAGGCAACAGTAGAGAAATGATTTCGAAATATACATATATAGTAGTAATTTAGAGATAGTAAGTTTTCAATTATTGTTCGACATATGTAACTTATAAGTAAGACTATCAAATTGTTTGAATAGTTCTGTGATCGAGTTGATTAAGTTCTTCCATGTGAAACCATCCAAAGGAGAATGCCGAAGATTTTTAAAATCGTAAAATAGCAAGAATGTCTCGGACAAATTGCAAATAATAAAAGTAATAATTATCTAATACTGTATTAATCCAAACGCTAAACAAATCAATCTTTGAATTAAGGAATCAAATAGTAAAAAGAGTTAAAACAATCTTCTGTGTGAATTAATGTAAATAAACAAGTAATCATTCTATTAGAGGATGATAAAGGTAACGATAAAATTTTCTAATATAAACAAATATTTTAACCATAAAAGAAATTTTATTATTTTAATATAGAGGAATAGTTACGATATATTACAACCAGATATTAAATAATAGAAGTATAATATTTATTGTAAAATTTTAAAAGAAACTATGTAAGTTACTTATCGATTTTATATAAATTGGACTTGAAAAGTATTTTAAGTTATAAGTAAAATTATCTTTTGACAAAAAATTGATAGCTAACATTCGAATCGAATCAGAAAAAACTTTAATAACTTTTGCTCGTTCCTAAAAAGCGTAACAAGTTGAGTTTAGTAGTTAATTATAGGACGAATCTCGAGATTTAATAAGCGATGATGGTTTTCAGCTTATTAATAATGAAGATATAGTATAATAGTTTATAGATGTAGTAGGCTTGTTCAAAAATACCATATACTATTAGGTAGTATATATAGATGATGATAATTAAAAACATTTGCATNTATTAAGTGTTCATTTGGATTCGAAACCTGTAGACATAACGCATAAAAATAAAATGAAATTCAATTCTTCAGAATTAAAATAAAAGCACATCGCCTGTGATATTGGTTACATATAAATCAAGCGTATAAAAATAGCAATGATTTTTTTTAAATTTTAATGATTTTTATAAGTTTATAAATATTAATAATTAGAAAAATATAAAACTTACATTAAATAGAACTATAAATATTTTAGAAAATTATTCACAAATTAAAATATTTTATTATTTTAAAACTAATATTAACTGTTTTTTAATAAAAGTTAACAATAAATATTTATTTATCAAGTGTGCATTAACAGATAAAAATATAATAAGTAGATAAGAATACATCTAATAAGCATGTGAAATCTGATAAATGTATTCGAATGACACTAAAAATAAAATTGGTGTTATCTACTTTCATTGGTTAATATGGACGCAAATACTTAATCTTATTTATAATAGCGATTTAATTTATTTTAAAATTATTATCTTTATTCGTTAGTTATGATATTGTACAAATAATTCTAATTTTTAACAACAAAATATTGTAAGGCAAACAAAAGAATAAAATTTATATTCTACGTTTATAAAATAAATTTCATGCTTAGTTTAGAATAATTTCAGAAATCATTTTGTTAAAAATCGATAATTTCTTAACTTCTATTCGCAAAATAAAATATTACATTTAGATTTAAGAAATTTATAGTTAGTAACTGTATAAATATTTCTTTCAAACGAAAAATTTAAGAACATTTTTGTGTAGTTTTATGAAGTTAAATGCTGTTTACTTTTTTTTTTTCTTCTAAAATAGTCTTGCAAAATAAATATTTCGGGAATCATTCGGCAGAAGTAGCCAAAGTCCAGTGCATGTCCCCAAATAGCCTAGCAGTTAGTAACTTGAGTGGTCGACGAAATATTTATGTTATATTGTTTATGGCTTCTTGTTACTTCCCATTAATTTGTTGTGGCACTCTTTTAAAATGTTTGACAATCTTTTATCGTCCTTTTGAGATAGTTTTCTTTTCTATAAATTATCAATTTTAACATTAAATCAATTTACTTTGAAAAGGAAGTAAACGAATGAAATGTATATGTAGTTCTATACTTATTATAACAATTACTATAGAACACAGGAAATACGGATTATGTATTATTTTTCTAACCGATTAGCATATTTTGGAGTGTCTTGGACCGAATTTTTAATTTCGATTCCTTAACATTATTTTTCATTTGTTGAATATAACTTGGAAGATAAAAAATGTTAAAAAGAATAATTATTACGTAAAATCTTAGCAATGTATACAGTTAATATCTTTTGGATGATCCTTGAAAGCATTTCGAATATAACCCGAAACACGTGATGCAAAATATCGACTCGATTATTTAAAATCATAAATAACGAAGATTAAGCTATGACTGAAAACGAAATGGCGTGACAAAAACAAACAATGAATATGAAATTAAACTCAGAATTCCCTATCTGAATTTTCTTTAAAACTACCTCTTTTTAGAACCGTATTAACGGACAGTACATGGCTGAAGTGGCAGCCAAATCCCTCTCGACTCTCCCAGCAACGGTAACATCACAAGGATTAATGTTCCTTCCTATGTTTGACGGTGGATTGAGCGCTATCACTCATCCAGCAGCCGTCGCAACAGCAGCTACATCTCTCTCACATCTGACAGCAACATCCGGAGTGACTCAAACACCTCGTTCTGATCCTATCGGAGTACCCTCTTGTTCTGCAATAGATGCAGAATCAACGGTAAGTGATTATCCAATAGACATACTGTATCATTGTTAACAATATGATGACAATAGGCATTTTATATAATCTTGTTTGTATAGAAGAGCGGCATGTTTCTTTAATGGAGATACGTTCGACTTCCTATTACAAATATTTGGCACCTAGTCTGACAACTAAATTATTTTCATTTGCTAATAGCCCTTTCTTAATTCAGGACATTTCTCTCTACCACCCTTAGGAGTCGGGCTTAAACCCACTAGTTAAATCATATAACTCATTTTTTTTCCATTTATAAATGTTTCAATTTTGCCAGTTTTGTAAGTAATTATTTTATAAAGTTAAAATTTATTACCCCAGTATTTATTGCATTAATTTCACACGCATAATCGACAGAAACATAACTTCAAAATTCACACAAATTATAAAAAATAAATTTCAAACATTTTATCGAAAAATCAATTTTTTTATCACTAAAATTTCTAAATAATTACAATAAAACAGGCTAACAAGCAAGATAGAATTGACTTTGCAGATATTTATTTAAAAGGCAAATAGTTTTGTTGTGTTTTTGTTTTTCTTCTTTTTTTTGTATATTACGTTTATTATGTATTAACTTTATAATTTTCTAGTTAATTTTTTTCTTGTAACCTTCAAAAGTTCTGTTAGTTTCCTAATCAACCTTTTGTAATTTTTATTTTAAAATTTTCAGCTTTGTTCTTTTAATGGCCGTAAGTTTTTCTAAATCGCATGTTAGTTTTTGGTTTACAAAATTAATTTTTTCGTAAATTTCAATTATTATACTTCTGTTATCATTTATCAATATTTTATTTTATTTACATACTATGATGATTTTTAATGTTATATTTTTGTTAACTTTCTTCGCGTTGTATAATTTTTAACATGTCTTTCCTCTAACGTCCGAATAATGTGTAATATATATATATATATATTGAAAATCTTTTTAAATTTAAGTATGTTCTACTGTACAATACAGTACTTTCTATTGCAAAGAATTTTTAAATGATGTTGATATATTATAAAAGTTTAATGATTTTTTGTCATTTTAGCTGAAAAATCTGCTTTATATAATAAATTTATTGAGTTTACTTACATATAAATTTATGCAGTAAAAACATTACAAATTATATACATCAATAATTATATGTTTAATTATAGATTAGTACAATTATTAATTTTAATATATTATTTAAAGTTTAACATTATAATACGTTCTTTAACTTAAGATGTAGTTCTGAAAAACTTTGTCAAAATGAAATAATTTAATAATAATAGTTAGAAAATGAAGAAATATTTTTAGAATGTTATATTTAATACATAATTTATATTGTAAAATATTAAATTAAAAAAAAATAATGTTGAAAGAAAAATGTCTGAGCATTATTTATAGTACATTATATACAAACCGAGAGTAACAACGGGATATATTATTAATGCTAAGTTCAAATTATTACATATATTGTAATTTTTATGAGAACTTTAATAAAAATTCTTATAAAAACCATTTAAAACTGAACACAGACTTTTTAAAAATTAGTTATTTTAGTTTTTGGATATTTGGTTTTTTAATATGCCATTATTAGACGAAAATATAAATCTCATAATTGCTAAGTTAATAATATAGTATGTAGATTATTTTAAAAATTTTCAATAGATTCTCTTTATAATAATCTACTGCCATCTGGTGACAAAAATAATAAACAAAATGGCATATTGTTCACTTTGATAACTGTTTTTATTCTCTGTAATGTTTTAAAACTGTTATTCAAGAATCGAAACTAATTAATAATACGTAGAATATTATATATAAGCCTTCTTTAGAAAGACACGAGTTTAATGAAATGAATATTTATATATGATTTTCTTAACAGGTCTCCATGTCGCCCTTACATTCTTGGGCACCATGTGTTCCTCAATCAATTTTGGCCAGTACAGGCAATGTGACGACGGGTCACAGGACGCCAACCCCATGCAGTGATAATGACTGCGACATCCCTCTTAACTTGAGCAAACCAAAAACTTGCTCCGGTGGTAGTACTAGCAGCAGGTAAAATAAACTAACGATGTTATTACAATTTTTTCATAATACATACAGTACTGTATATAAATTCTTATTTATTATTGAAAATTATTTAGTAATTTCGGAACATATATCTGTGATTCAAAGAATTATATCAATAAAAAAACTTTTTACTTTTTAAAAATCACTAGATTGATTCTTGGCATATTTAAATAGGCAATGCAGAATAGTTAATTGATTACTTTACTAAATTATTATTATTTTAATCAACTCTCATATAAGCTGTGTTTATTTATTAGCATTTTGAAAAATATTGCGTGAAAAGTATTCTAAATTCGTTAAAATTAATTAATTATAGTTTTGTTAAATTATGATTAATTCTCTCAAATACCTGGAATCATTTACTTTTTGAATTTTTAAAACTTTTGACAATTCATTCACAATAAAATTTCATTCGTTCGTTGAAAATCATTGAATTTGTATACAGTTTTTAAAAAATTTACAAATATATAATTTTTTATTTAAAAATTATAAATTTTTGATAAAGAAGAAATGATATAAGTCTAATTCTAAAATATATAGGCCTAAACGTGTTTTATATATTTTAGAATTTAATTTCAATTTTAATTAATTTTATATTGCATAGACCTATTTTGTTTTTAACAATCATATGGATAATTGATTAGAAATATTCATGAGTCATTAAATGCTGTAACATTTTTATAAAACTTTTAAATCATTTAGTAAATAATTATTTATAATCAAAAACTTATTTATGATCGCATATATATTTCATCATATTAATTACTTTTGAAATTATTAGTGCCAGTTGTAGTCCAACGCCCCAAGCAGCAATTAAGTTGGAATCTAGAGACAGTATATCACCAGGATATACACCTAATCATACTTCTTCGTCTACTTCACCTGGCATTAGCTCAGCCACTAATTTAAATTCTGCATCACCTGTATCTAGTATGGCTGCTGCAGTAGCTGCTGGATTCTTAGGAACAGCAGGAGCAGCATCATTACCAGTAAGAATATAACAATAATTTTATTTTTCTCACGAAAACAAACTCATTTTGTCAAATAATTTAAAATATACTATGATTTATAGGCTTTATATATATATAAGTTATCTTAATATGTTCTCAAACAATATGCTTATTAATATATTTTGATGTTATAGATGGCTGCACCGTTTCTCACACCTTCCTCACCATATGGTTCAATCCCACCTCATCTAAGGCATTTATCAAGTGTATCATTTGGAGGAATCGTTGGACATCCAGGTAAGGCCGAGTTCTAAAATTAAAAAAAAAAAATTAATAATAATAGGCCTATAGCATATACTAAAATTAAGTTATGTTATACAAAATCATATCAAAATACGGATCCAGGCCATATTCTGAGCTAAGATAGTACTAAATACCTAAATAATAAAAAAATTGTTTTAATTATAAATGGATATTTTAATAAACATTATTTAATTTTTGAAAGATTTGTTCAATACTTAAGATTTGTTCTTAGTTTCTCAGCATTGTACAGTATAAATGTTTAAATTGGAAACTTTACACGCAATGATCACTTACGTGTTATAAAATCAGAAAAATCGAAAATAATTTAATGCGGATAAAATAAATTGCTTATATGTATTGTATGAAATTATTATGCAATTGCATATCCTTTAGAACGACTGCAGTTCTAAAGCAGGGATGGCGAACCTTTTTGAGTTCGCATGCCATTTAGTAATCATAATTATCTTTAAAAATATTTATGCGCGTCCAGTTTTAGATTTCGAATAACTATATTTAAAGAAATTAAATGAAAATGCTTTAATTAGAATAAATGTAAAAAAGGTGATTGAAAAAAAGGATGATCAGATGATAAACCGAAAGGATGATTGAAAAAGTGATAAACCGAAATCATACATTTATGTGCTAGAGGATTTTTCCAAATGTGCCACAGGTTCNATTTTTCATAAAGAAGAAATGATATAAGTCTAATTCTAAAATATATAAACGTATTTTATATATTTTAGAATTTAATTTGAATTTTAATTTTATATTGCATAGACCTATTTTGTTTTTAACAATCATATGGATAATTGATTAGAAATATTCATGAGTCATTAAATGCTGTAACATTTTTATAAAACTTTTAAATCATTTAGTAAATAATTATTTATAATCAAAAACTTATTTATGATCGCATATATATTTCATCATATTAATTACTTTTGAAATTATTAGTGCCAGTTGTAGTCCAACGCCCCAAGCAGCAATTAAGTTGGAATCTAGAGACAGTATATCACCAGGATATACACCTAATCATACTTCTTCGTCTACTTCACCTGGCATTAGCTCAGCCACTAATTTAAATTCTGCATCACCTGTATCTAGTATGGCTGCTGCAGTAGCTGCTGGATTCTTAGGAACAGCAGGAGCAGCATCATTACCAGTAAGAATATAACAATAATTTTATTTTTCTCACGAAAACAAACTCATTTTGTCAAATAATTTAAAATATACTATGATTTATAGGCTTTATATATATATAAGTTATCTTAATATGTTCTCAAACAATATGCTTATTAATATATTTTGATGTTATAGATGGCTGCACCGTTTCTCACACCTTCCTCACCATATGGTTCAATCCCACCTCATCTAAGGCATTTATCAAGTGTATCATTTGGAGGAATCGTTGGACATCCAGGTAAGGCCGAGTTCTAAAATTAAAAAAAAAAAATTAATAATAATAGGCCTATAGCATATACTAAAATTAAGTTATGTTATACAAAATCATATCAAAATACGGATCCAGGCCATATTCTGAGCTAAGATAGTACTAAATACCTAAATAATAAAAAAATTGTTTTAATTATAAATGGATATTTTAATAAACATTATTTAATTTTTGAAAGATTTGTTCAATACTTAAGATTTGTTCTTAGTTTCTCAGCATTGTACAGTATAAATGTTTAAATTGGAAACTTTACACGCAATGATCACTTACGTGTTATAAAATCAGAAAAATCGAAAATAATTTAATGCGGATAAAATAAATTGCTTATATGTATTGTATGAAATTATTATGCAATTGCATATCCTTTAGAACGACTGCAGTTCTAAAGCAGGGATGGCGAACCTTTTTGAGTTCGCATGCCATTTAGTAATCATAATTATCTTTAAAAATATTTATGCGCGTCCAGTTTTAGATTTCGAATAACTATATTTAAAGAAATTAAATGAAAATGCTTTAATTAGAATAAATGTAAAAAAGGTGATTGAAAAAAAGGATGATCAGATGATAAACCGAAAGGATGATTGAAAAAGTGATAAACCGAAATCATACATTTATGTGCTAGAGGATTTTTCCAAATGTGCCACAGGTTCGCCACCCGTTCTAAAGGATATACAATTTACAGAAAATAGTTATCTCAATATTGATAATTATTAACATATTTTCTTCAGTATATTTAACTGAAACCAAATATTACAATTCAACATATATAATATATATGTTGAATTGTAATATTTGGTAAAATAATATTACATCATATATTAATATTATATATTAATATTATATCATATATATTACAATTCAACATATATAATATATATGTTGAATTGTAATATTTGGTAAAATAATATTAAATCATATATTAATATTATATATTAATATTATATCATATATATTACAATTCAACATATATAATATATATGTTGAATTGTAATATTTGGTAAAATAATATTAAATCATATATTAATATTATATATTAATATTATATCATATATATTACAATTCAACATATATAATATATATGTTGAATTGTAATATTTGGTAAAATAATATTAAACTACAATCATATTTATGTCCTGATAAAAATAACAATTTATTAATAAATGAATCAATATTAATACATATTCATATTATATTAGATGTTACCGCAAATAAACATAGATTTGAATTTGTTAACATTATAATACAATAATAAATTATACCTCGGGATTATATTTACAGGAAATTTAGAATCTGGTCTTTCATCCAAAGAAAGTATTTCGTGTACCGTGTCAGGAATGAGTGCCTCGTCTCATTGTGTTACATCTAGTGCTTCATCCGATAAGTTTGCCCTTCCTCTCTATCTATCAACACCCGGAATAGCAGCAATGAAAAAGGAAAGTTCTGTCGATAGAGAAACCGATAAAGGTAGATTTTTCAATATACAAATTTTGCAGTTCCAATTAAATGTTACACAAATTTTTCACTTTTAAAATTGAATATTTTCAATGCTGAAGCAATTTATAAAAAAAAAACTTTACACATTCATTTTGTTTGCCTATTTGTCATCAAGATTTCCCGCAAAATAAAATTGGATAATTGAAATTCTCTCGAATCTTATTAGCACCATTTTCTTTCTGAAATTCAGAATGAATTTCTTATTAATACTACCGTAAATGAATTCAGAATTAATATTAAAATGATTATTTACGTANTGTGCTGATCTTTGTAATTATAAATTGTGAATACATGTGACTAATATTATTTTCTTTTTTATTTTGTGCATGTTACAAGTTATAAATAAACATAAACAAACAACACTAACTCGATAACATTAAATCTAAATACCAAAATGATTAATTTACTGTGTTTTTGTTATTTATTACTCCTGCTTTTAGGTATTCGGTATTCGGCCGAATAGTGAAGAATAGGCCGAATACCGAATAGTAACCGAATATTCGTTACATCACTAGTATTTATATAAATTTTACTTAAATTTTGTAAAGAATCAATGGAAATAGGAATGTAATATCATCGTATACTTTTGTTTAGGTAAAATAATGGGGGCTAAAATTATTCGTCAAAATAAGAAAGATATGGAAGGAAGACCTCACATCAAACGACCGATGAATGCTTTTATGGTGTGGGCCAAGGACGAAAGACGAAAAATTCTCAAGGCTTGTCCGGATATGCACAATTCCAACATTTCCAAAATCTTAGGTAAGTTATTGTTCCAATCAATCTAAGAGTAGTAAACGCGCATGGCATAATTTCGGCTCACATTAATGGAGAATGTAAAGGAAATTAATTCTAAAATTAATATTCTCTATATTTTTAAAGTATTTTTCATTAACTATTTAGAGACATTGTTAATTGATTGAAAAAATCTTCACGTAAATTATTTTGGATACTAACTCTACGTAGACTGCTGCCCTCTGTATTCGAAAAAGTTAACTACAATTATTTATTTCGAAATTTAATTAATAATACTGTATTTTCAATAACTAGCGAGAAGTATCACAGTATAAAATTATGAACGTTTTTGAAAATGTTATTAAGACTGGCAAATTGTTAAATTTTGTGGGAATTCTATAAAATCTTATAATTAAAAATGCCGAAAACGATTCGTACGTAAACGAATTTTTCGTTTATCAAAATGAATAAAACATCATTTTTTGCTACGGTATTAACAATTTAATAATTAATATATTAGGTGCAAGATGGAAATCAATGACAAATTCAGAAAAACAGCCATATTATGAGGAACAATCACGATTGAGTAAATTACATATGGAAAGACATCCCGATTATCGTTATCGACCCAGACCAAAGAGAACGTGCATCGTCGATGGCAAAAAATTGCGAATATCCGAATATAAACAATTGATGAAAGCAAGAAGACAGGAAATGAGAAATTTATGGTAAATATTCAATTCTATAATAAAACTTAATTAATTACTAATGTCTATTACTTATTTTTGTTCGATTATCTGCAAAGGTGGACCGCGTGATTACAGAACTTTCGTTATAATTAATTCTTCAGTTAATTATATTCTGTTTAATAATTTTAATTATATAATTTTAATAAAGAGTGGCCTTTATTTTCTTTTCGCTAAGAAAATAACGAGAATACGAACGATTGTCGTTATTTCTTTTCAAAAATTGTCACACAAAATTTAAATGAATCGTTCGCTCAATTTTATTAGAAATAATTCATTTTGTCATAATTTTAAGCGTTTTAAAAACATTTTATCGAATTTTCTTTTAATTAAACTTATATTCATTAAGTTTTTTAATTTAATGTTTATAAATATAAAATGATTAAAATTGATAAGCTATTGTTTTTTTTAACTTTAAAACTATCTACAATATCAAAATACTGTATAATATTTGTGCTATAATAATGCTTAAAAAGTAGGTAAAGTAAGACTTTTTGAAGGAAAAATTAGGACAAGTAAAAGAAATTTTTAAAATAGAAAAGAGGAGGATGTTCGATAAAATATCGTGACAAAATCAATCTACAGTATATTTATTTGATAAAATATCTTTCCATTAAGAATGGAAAGATAGTTAACTTAGTGTTTATCTCAATTTTATTTATTTATTTTTATTGTTAAAATTTCCTACAAACACTCATAAGTTACTAGAATAATAACCTGGTTAGATTACCGCCTTTATTTTTCAAAATCATTTACAATTAGTGAATATATAAAAACAATTTTATAAGAATACAAATTACCATTAAAATGTTAATTATAATATTAAATTAAAAGCTTTGTATGAATAACATTATGGTAAAAAGAGAGCAGTAGATATATAGGCCTATATATTATATTTTTAGCATTAGATCTTTGGAATATGTAACCCACATTATTTTATTTCTGTTCTGTGGTTTTTTTGAAACCTTAAAATTGAATTTCACCGTATATTGAAAAAGAGACAGTAATAAAAGCAGAAAATTTGCTGAATATATTGGTCCAGGAATTATTGTTAATTAAATATAGGTAAACATTCTAATTTAATGGAAAATTGTTATAAGAACTTAGAAAAAACTGGAGCAAACATCTCTTTCTCGTGGACTTTATTGGTGTTTGTTTAAATAGTAGAACAACCATTGTTGAGGTTTATATGTAAAAAATTAAATTTTTTAAATTAAAAATTTAATGGTTATCCATTTAGTGATGACAAGATATTGCATTACATATAAAAAGTAGTAGTAACAGCAGAACTAAAGATACGCATTAAATATGCTTTATTTAGAAAAAAATGATCCTGTATTATTTCTTAAGGATAAAAAGTTGGAAAATTTCTTAAAAAGCGGGATATTTCCTACTTTCTAACTGAAAAGTAGGATGATTGTGAAGACTGTTAAAATCTGAAGAAGTAACTTTAATTCTGTAATTACATTCGACCCCCCTATAACACTGTTGATAATTCTGTTTTATATGAATTCCACGTTGTACGAGTCACGTAGATTTTACAAATACGTGTGCCGTTCTGTGCCTGGCACACGTATTTGTAAAATCTAAGTGACTCGTACAACATGGAATTCATATAAAACGGAATTATCAACAGTGTTATGGGGGTCGACTGTATTATTAAAGTATTATAATATTTTTTGAAAACTCTATAAAACTTGTGTATTTATTAGACATTTTATTTCATTTTAGGTATAGAGACGGAAACGTAGGACTTCTCGATACTCCGACATTGGTAAATCCAGCTACAATGACATCACTTCTCTCAGAACTACCAAATACATCAACCGGCGATGTAATGACTAATTTAGCACCTAAAATTCCTCCTCCTCATCCCCAAACAACGACAAACGGAATATCTGATGTGAAAATGTCATCCGCATGTAATCCGGCATCAGTCCAAGGAATGGGTAACTTGAGCGGAGTTGGATCCAGTCAATCTCCCTCAACTTCCACCGCAATGGAAACTTCGACTTGAAATAAATCTCTGTACAGCAAAGTTATTACTTCTCTTAATAATTTGTGTTATTTTCTTCGTGGACCGGGCTCTCCCGATCTGAAATACCACGTGGGAATGATCTCCCTAATGATTCAAGAACTGATGTTTCATTAGATGAGTAGCATCCTGGTTCGGAATCAGTCCCATTATTTGTGTTGTGTGGAAGAAAATAGACAATGAACATGAAGATCAGTAAAATAAGTGAGAAAATCAACCCCAGATCAATTATAATTTCGCTAATTCAAGTTGTTTCGATTCATAGTCAATAAGGGGTATGGTTTCAGAGAATGACAAGTTATGAAATGTGCAATTAAATTTTTTTTTTTTTTTTGATTGACGAAGAAGGTAATAAGGACATATTCTACTCTCTTATTCTTAATCATTTATGTTTCTGAACTGTCTTATTACCGGTGATTCTAAGAGAGTTCCGTCGATTATAGACTGCGTTATATTTACAGAGAAGACAAATGCATTTACTTTTTTTCTTCGTTATTGCTCGTCCCAAGAAAACTTTCTGAGCATATTATTAAGAAAGGATTTTTACCTTTCAAGAAAGAACTTTTATAGAATCAGATGGCATTTCTTAACAGGCATATTCTTAAGGTTTCCAAGGAACTCTGCACTGTTAAAATATAGTTGCGTAAGAGTTTCGTTAAATGCGACCTTTAACCTTCGAATTTTTGTTGTTGTTGTTGTTATTTAGTGTTAAATTCAGAAATAAGCTATCGTGGATAGTACAATGCATTGTAGAAAAGCCTTTAGTCTGTAGAAGTCGCAACATATACTGTATAAATACTGGAATTCTGCTCAAGAATAATAATCATTTTTGTCGTATAAAATGAGTAAAGTAACTTCTAGTCTGTGATGGACAACTGCAGAGTAGCTAGGGCTTTATTGAATGTGTCAGATTTTCATTACTCATCACTTTGTGATTTTTATTTCTAATAGGTATGAAGCAACCGAAAGTAATTTTAGCTCTTAGAGTTTACAATTTTTGGGCATTTTTTTCATTAATTCTCCACGAACTAAAAGCTAAAACTAAAGTTTTAATTTTCGTAATATTATGTAAAATGATTACCGTTCTTTTCTTGTGTTTTCTAAGATTTCATTTGAAATTATAACAAAACTAAGGGCTTAACTTCACTGCTATACTTGGTTGGTTGTCTTTTGACAGTGTCATCAAAATAATATTGTCAAATGTATATAACGTTAAAACTTGATGTGCCCACTATCACTGTGTCGTCTACGTATAGAAAACAAAAGGTTATTAAGCTCCAGTTTCTTTCTTGTAATTCTATAACCTTTAAACTTAGCATCTTACTGTACTGTATTGTTATCATATTTGTGTGATATCTCATTTCAGCCCTTTTCTGATATATCTGCACATTGCAGATGCTCATATTCATCCTCAGGAAGAAGCAAAATGTTTCGTTTTTAGTCTTTCTTTCCAAGATAATGGAGAAAAAAATAAACAAACTAAACGTTCGTCTTCCTTGCATTTATTTTATATAAATAGATATATAACATTTACTCTAAACTGTTGTCTTGGAAGATTGGCTTTTGCTTCTTCATTCATCGAGGCAATGGCCAGATATTTTTCATGCATTTTCTTTGATATTGCTTCTCGGCAATCTAGGGCATTTCCATTTTTCCCCCATATTTGTGTTTTGCATCCCTTTATGTATATTATTATATTATTGTTAATAATTATTTCTCCAAATTTTCTTCGTACGAATCGATCTTATCGAAAGAGGTGTTGTCTCATAGTTATACAATTATTCTTCTTTCATTGTTTTCTTTAATTCTTTTGCAATCGACAAGTTTCAAACTAATATGGAATGCATAGTTTTTAGTATACTGATAATAGTCACGAGAAAGAAAGTTCAGGCCGAATGCACAAAGTGCCATATCAATAACTACATGACGATCATCATCTTGTGACTCAAAATTGCGGGTTTGAATTTTTGAAAATTGCATATTCATTGAATGATATATTGTTTACAGGGAATGGTAATTTAGTTTATCTAAACTTTATGAATTACTTAGGAACATATTTTCGGCCTGTTTCTTTTGCGCATTTATTTCTTTAACATGCCATTTTATGATAAAACTCAGTTATGATCATTTTCCTAAGTATTAATGCTTAGGATATCTTTTTGTACAAAAAAAAATATCCAAGAAAGAAAATTAATCATGCAAATTTTATTTGAAAAATAAAATGAATGATCTTTCTGTCAAAATGGTGTTTTGACTTACAAAATATAAATATTTTAATTGTTTCTATAATTTAAAGATTTTCATATTTTAAAATATAAGAGAAAATTTCATATACAAAAGTTTCCGAAAAATCTCACGATTAAAAATAACAGTAATAATAATAAAAAATTGTAACATGAAATACGTGAATGTTCTGTAATATTCATTTCGAATTTACACATGCTGTAATATGAGCAGCATACGATTTTAAATATTATCTATTGTGTCTTTTTTTAATATTTATGTTTAAATATGTTCAGTCAATAATAAAACTGTAGATAATGTTTGATAAACTGATATCAGAATTCGTTAATTCCCTTAATTTTCGAGATTCTGTTGAAAGAACGATATTTATTTTTTAAATCATCACACTAAACTTGGGTATCCACGTCAGTGATTTTGGTGCGCCAAGCCAATAAGACCATGCCAGCACATAGTCATGTGACTTCCACGCGATTTGCAGAGTTGATATCTACTAACCTGTAAGTGTACGAATGAAGTGAGAATCACAATTTGCGCGGGAGAAAAGAGAATAAATCAACGATGGATGACGACCATGCGATCATCTTAGAGACATATTCCTATTGATAGAAAACAAAACAAAAATAAATAAATAAATAAAGCAACAATTTATTATTTTTTTTCATCTTAATACTTTTTATCCCTTTCATCAAACTCTCCCCCTCTCTTTCTCTCAACCTATAGGTTGGAGGGCAGCATGGAAAAAATATTTAAAAAAAATGTCTTGGACAAGCAGTTTTGCCACAATTTTCCGAAAATTTAATTTCTCAGTTGATGTATTCATTCGCTAATTGTTTCTAGAGCGCCGAAAGCGTTCAAATCGCGCGACGAAATCTCTCTTGCGGATACGCAATTCAAGCCTGCAAGGCGCGCGATTTTCTCTTCCGAGACATAAAATCGCATAGTCTTAAAATCAGTCGAAGCCTTACATGCTGTATAATTACTCATCGTAAATATCTAATTCAATCTAATAAAAGAAAGGTTTATAAAACTAATATTTCTAGAAGTACAGAAAGAGCAATTAATTGTTGTTCAGGATTTTTATAAAGAATTATTTAAGTTCTTATAAAAAAGTTTAAAAATTTTACGCCGCACATTCCATATAGATGATACACTTTTCCATTATTATTATTATTATTATTATTTTAAACAAGTGACCATCTCCTCTTCAATGCTATGAAGAGTATTTCTGAATAAGTCTTCGAAATAGCTGTTTCATAAATTTTTTTTTTGGAGGGATGTTGCCCTGACGTCAACAAACTTACTTTCTGACCAACTGGAAGAAAGCTTAATTAATAAAGTGTGTTGAAGAAAGACCACGTGATCAGTCTAGACAATAGTATTCAAATATAGAAAAAATTTCATTCCAGCTATTATTATATACAGTATTTTTTTTATGTTTAATAAGTTTGCCTGCTAGATAGGCCTACGAGATTTAACTTTTTTATGACCGATTAATGCTTTGCTCCTCTCCCATTAATTATTAACTATGATAAATACTTTTATCATCATTATTCCATTATCTAATAACTTTACAAGGTTGAACTTAGATTTTATTAATTATAACAATATTTTTCAATGTTCACTGACAAAATTCCTGTTCGTTCAAGTCGCGTGTGCATGTGCGAACGAAACTAATCGAAATTTAATTTCAAAATTTAGAAATCAGAACTGTTAAACTGTCACTTTATCAATATATTTACTATTATTTAATANGGACTGTAGTAGTGTAAAGGTTGCTGATATCCATAGGTCGGTGGTTCAAATCCGCCTCGACGGATTTTTTTACGCTTTGTATAAATTCAAGCAGTTTTTATAATGTTATGTTTTCTATATTCGATTTTTATCATTAAAATGTAGTAAAAACGTTCTCAGAAGATTTATATTTATAAAGAAATCACAGCAAGTATATTTTTATTGTTTTACTATTGGTATAAAATTATGTTGATTTCTATTTAAAATGAATTGTTAGAACACATGGATACACAAAACGATTTCTTTGGAGAGAGAGCGAAAGACAGTAAAATGTATTATGGATCTAAGCGTATTGTTATAAACATTGTCTCTGGTATGCGAATAATTTTTGATTTTCTGATTGGGACTTTTTTTGTTTCATTTGTAAGCCTCTTTTCGCGAAAGCAATGTAGACTGACCTAAAAAAAAGGGTATTCCCATACTCAAATATTATTTACGTTCCTTCAGTTTTTTGAAAAAAATGTAATTCTATTGGACAGATCTTGTAACGTATGGGGTTCTGGACGAATTCGTCACTCCTTCTCGGTTGTGCTATTAACGCAGTCATAAGAATATATCATCGTCAAATTGCGAGCTCATGAACTTCGATTATGAATCAAAAGTTTTGTCAAGTCAAAAGAGTTTTTTATCGGAAACATTTTTCAGATCTATTTTACACAGTCTTTAGTTCCTAATTGAAGGATTACAGATATTTTATTTTCTTTCCTAAGAGCCCTTTAGCACGTCCATCGTGAGCTCGGATGATGAGGAATGAAAATTTCTGAATCGACGTCCTCGAACCCGGAATTCCAGAACGGCAGAATGGCTTGAAGAAAATTATAACGTTGGAAGCTATTGCAATCGTATTGTCAGAAAATGTAATTGAAATGCAATTAACAAATTCAAGGAAAATAAAAATAATTTTGAATTTAAACACAGTAAAGATATCTTACAACAACTACTTTATTTTCAGCAAATCGACGAATACCGATTGTCCGTAGCATATTTACTTAATGTTTAAGTGGAATAATTAGTGATATTAATTAGTAGGCGAATGAAAATTTTATCGAGTCATATTGATAAAACGAAAGTACTGGTACTTGTAACTGTATTCATTAAGCCAGATTTAATTTTTATTCAAAGTATTCATTTTTGTAAATTATACAATTAAGATCACATCTGACGCAATTATACAGTACGATGACAAACATAATGACGATAGCAAATTGTCTATTATAAACTCTGAAAGGAATCCATCTACATTATTTTCAATGCCATATGTTACGTCACTATTGTACTTGTCGACACGACCGCCAGTCGCTATTTGTATTTAGACTGTTATATACGTCAATTTTTATAATATATAGTGTAGGTTTTTGTATAAATTCTGAGTGACAAATCATTTACTTTTTTGTTAAAAGATTTAAGAAATTGTTAAATTCGATATTATTTCGTGATAATAGCGAATTCGTATAAGACATAGCATGTTATTACGGCACTTTTTAACAGTTATTTTAATTAATAAGCTCTCACTAACTAATTAAATTAATATTTTACAACAATTTAGTTGAATATTACATTTATAGAAAATTTACGTTAAACGCTGAAGTAAATTAGATTGAAAGGAAAAAAACACTGGAAAAGTTAGTTTCGAATAACTTTGACCCACTTTTTAATGATTTATACATTGCAAGATAAAACTTAACATGTTCCGTCGATAGCTCAGCTGGTAGAGCGGTGGACTGTAGTAGTGTAAAGGTTGCTGATATCCATAGGTCGGTGGTTCAAATCCGCCTCGACGGATTTTTTTACGCTTTGTATAAATTCAAGGAGTTTTTATAATGTTATGTTTTCTATATTCGATTTTTATCATTAAAATGTAGTAAAAACGTTCTCAGAAGATTTATATTTATAAAGAAATCACAGCAAGTATATTTTTATTGTTTTACTATTGGTATAAAATTATGTTGATTTCTATTTAAAATGAATTGTTAGAACACATGGATACACAAAACGATTTCTTTGGAGAGAGAGCGAAAGACAGTAAAATGTATTATGGATCTAAGCGTATTGTTATAAACATTGTCTCTGGTATGCGAATAATTTTTGATTTTCTGATTGGGACTTTTTTTGTTTCATTTGTAAGCCTCTTTTCGCGAAAGCAATGTAGACTGACTTAAAAAAAGGTGACATCTTTATTCCCAAAAATCGTAGCCAAATCTATTTTTTCAGGCCCCCAGGCGGTAATAATTGATAATTATAGTTATTTACAAATTTTAAAATTAAAAATTATAAAATACTCCTTATACAAGTCTTTCCTTCCTTCTTTAATCCAATTCCTTCATTCATTGGGCTGCAATTTGAAAAAATTGTAGACCTATAAATTCCCACTCTTTACCGTTTAAATCTCGACTGAAACGAGGTTCAATCGCGATGGGCACAAGAGAGTTTTTGAAAGTAGATCCAGTCATACGAGAGTTCCCACAATCCCACGCGCGCGAGAAAAACAAGATGGCTGCGGAACAAGTGTCGGGGCTATTAACAGAGAAATAAAAAATATATTTGGAGAGACGATGAGATCTGGCTTTTGTTAGATATGTGGCGAAAAAAAGTAGATGACTTACGCAGAGCTAAAAGAAACAGAATTATGTATCAGGCAATGGCTGCAGCTCTGCGAGAGCATGGATACACAAGGACGTGGGAGCAGATCCAAACAAAAATAAAGAATTTAACTACAGAATATCGGTAAGTGGAATAAAGATATGATTATCATTATGACATATTTCATAATCAGTAGGATGTTAACTAACTTTGAGACATTAGTGAAGTAACTATTAATGAAGCCATAACTAGTGTCCGCGGATTTTTGGGTGCTGCACCCACTCGGTTTTTGAAAGGGGCAAAGTGTAAAAAGACAAACTATGTCGGTTTTAGTGCAATAGGCCCACTCATTGCTAAATGTTTAGCTCCCAAATGCACCCAAAACGAAAACCTGCTCCCAAAACGGTGACTAGCACCCAAACTACATATTTTGCACCCAACTTCCTTCGTATTTTAAATTTTGAAAGAATATGTTGACAATTATCTCTCTTTCTTTGGTGGTTTTTATTCATTCATTTGAGGGGGGAATTCGTTAAAACCGGACCATATATGCTGAAGAAAAAAATACGATAATTAGCTTACTCTCTTTTTTTGTTGATAGAAAAGGGAATTTTCTGGACTAAACAAGTAAACCGTACAGCTGTTCTAAGAATGTAAATAGATTCACTGAAAATCTGCAAAACGTCTTTTCTAAGAAAAGGACAATCTAGAAAATTCTGTATTGACGTCACCTTATCCTGACTTGTGAGCGCAACAGTTCCAATTTCTTTTGTTGGCGACATTAGAAAATGGCAAAATTGTTTGCATCTAAACTGAACATTTTAGCAAATAAGTTTAAAGATGAAGGCCTATGCACAGACAGAAAAGTTCTTCGCTGTTCCATTTGCGATTATATGATTTCGGTTGATGTGAAACATCAAGAACGAAATTCATCATTACGT